TGGGGAGGTGAGGGGTGGGGAGGTGTGGGGGGGAGAGAGGTCTGTAGTCCCAGCTACTCAGGAGGCTGAGGCGGGAGGGTCACATTAGCCTGGGAGTTTGAGGCCAGCCTGAGGAACACAGCCAGACCCCCCGTCTCAAAAAGAAGAGAGGGAAGGGTAGGGTAGAGGTGCAGGGATCAGGGAAGGAGAGGGGAAGGGGCGAGCATAACCAGGAGCAGACGCAGGGTTTCCGTGACGCCATAAGGGCAGCGCCAAGAACTGGACCCAGGTGGAAACACCAGAGGCCAGGCAAGCAGACGCCAGATACCCGAGGGCCAACGGACAGGTTACACTTCCCACCTTTAGGCAACGTCTGAGAGCCCTGGCGTTCTTGGTGTCAGCGTCTGAAAAACAGACCACAAAGTCAGCCAAGTTAAACAGGAAGCAGGGAGGCCTGTTTCTCTGAGGAGAAAGGAGCACCCTGGACCCTGGTGGGCTTGGGTTCTCGGCCGTGGGTGGACTGGGGCCGTGGGGCAGGCGAGGAGGCCCTGGAGCGGGCGGGGGAGCCGAGGGCGCAGAGCCACACCCACGCCACCCCGAGGCAGCCTGGGCCTGCCCAAGCTAGCTCGAGAGGCAGTGCCACTCTCCTCAGGCCCTCTCGGAAATTCACAGCCTCCGTTTCCTGTGCCGCGAGGGTCCTGCTAGGGCTTCTGGTGGGTTTTCCCGGGCCGCACTCCGTGACCACAGCACTGATTTGTCTCGAATTCCTGTTCCCGATGGGATCCAGGCCTTTGGGGAGCTCTGGCCTGGGCTGGTCTGCGGGCTGCGTGGAATTGCACAGGCCGTGGGGCCGGCCAGAGGCCAAGGGAGTCTGGATTTGAAAAGCTTGCCCAAGCAGGGCGGCGGCTTTGCTTCTTGGCTGACTTCTTGGAACCCAGGCTGCCTCTGTCATAGCCGCAGAGGTGACTCAACAGGAAGAGAAGCCGGAGGTGGAAAGAGAGAGCAAATAACTGTTAGGCACAAGTGAGGGTTTGCGTGTGGACCACAGCCCCGGCACTGTCGCTGGGCCATTTCAGTTGTGCTCAGAGACGGGGTTGGTGGGAGGAGCCCCGGGCTGTTCCTCAGTGCTGCCTGCCGGGGGAAGGCCTCGGGTGGGACTCAGGCCACCCTCCCTGAGGGCTCCAGGCCATTCTCGCTCGTTCCTCCTCCCTAGCTCCTTGGCTCTGAGGAGTGTGTGACCAAAGAGCTACTCACCTTGGGATAGGAGGGTGATGAGGATCCTGGTCTGCATCCCAGATGGACTGCATGTCACAAGTTACTAACTGAAAGTTTCCCTTTTATTTTGTAGCTCCAGTTGATTGGTAACAGAAGATGAAACCAAAGGCATAGTAATTAAATTATTTGAAGAACTTTAAAAAGCCATCTCATATCTCCTTTGAGTATTACGCCTTAAGGAAACTTTGGGTGTCTCACCGGAAGCAGACCTTTGTCAGCAGCTATTTTTTTAAAAGAAGAAATATCAACGAACAAAAACAAGGATTAGCTACACTGTCACCAGCACATTACGTGACAAGGTGCTTGCATTCTTTCTAAGAAGTTATTTTTATTGGGGAGAATCTTTTGTAAATAATAGATGCAAATATGTATGTATTGTCCTGTTAAGACAAAGCTTCGCGTGCCTTTTCAGAAACCGACTTCTCTTCTCTTTAGCAATAATTCACTGCAGTCTGTCATGGGATCAGAGACTAATACTCACCCTTGTTGTGTCTCTGGATGTTGATAAAAGGCAAGAAAGCACACGGGTCAGCCAAGGATGATGGCTCTTTGGGAGGCTGAGACTGGAGAGTCGAGTGCAGCAGGGGAAGACCAGCTTGGGCAGTACAGGGAGACTTCATCTCAACAAAAATAAAAAAGTCAGCCAAGCGTGATGCTGCTGGTCGTCCTAGCTGCGCAGGAAGCTGAGTGGGGAGGAGCACCTGAGCCCAGAAGGTTGAGGCTGCAATGAGCGGGCATTCCACTGAATGTCAGCCTGGGTGACAGAGCAAGACCGCAACTCAGAAATGAAAGAACACATGGCATTCGGGTCTTTTCTGCCGCCTCTTTTGAAAAGGCCGATCACCATCCAGTGCAGTCTGCAACGTGGGCGGGGCAGGGGGACCGCTCTCACCGGGACCACTCCACCCACCTGTTGACTGTCATGACAGGTGGCTGCCGTGCTGGGCAGTACCCAGCACGCAGCACTCGGAACACTGTGCCGTCACAGGCAAACACCGAGTGGCAGCCGCTCCTGAGGGCTGCTGCCCCGTCAGGCTGGAGACTCGCGGAAGGAATTCCAGGGGCCACCGGCTCGAGATCAAAGGCGCTGAAGCGCTCACTCTGGTTTCTGTGACAGCTGGTGGGGCGCCGGGGGCCGCCATCCCCCGGGAGGTGTCCTGCTCCCTCTGCTGCCCTTCAGGGAAAAGGACCTCAACAGGTGAACACGGATGACAGCTGGGGAGTACAAGGGGTTTGGGGGGAGGAATATTCTGAAATTGGTTATTATGGTGGTTGCTATACAACTCTGAATGTTCTAAAAAAAAATAGAAGTGTACACTTTAAGTGAATGCCTTGTGTATATGGGATATACTTCGATCCCACTGTTATTTAAGAAAAAATAAAGATTAAAAGGGGATTGCATCCTGACGCGTTCCTTCGCTGTCAATTTCTTTATCCAGGCCTGAGGCTGAGAGGCTCTGTCGGTGACTGTGCTCCCCTCAGGACTGAGCCCATGCTTCCCCAGTCTGCTAGGGGCTCAGAGTTCCCAGGGCACAAAGCAATTTTCTAATTGGAGGGCTGAGCAGAGAAAAACAGGCTAGCCACATACAGTAGCCAGCGAGTCTACGGAAGGGGCTTAGGCTGGACATCGACTTAGAGTCTCGCAACCGACAGCCCTGCGGTCTTTCTCCTCCTGCCATCGCTGCCAGCTTGGCCCAGCGTACGAGGCCCTGGTCATTGTCTTCCACACACTCCCCTCCCCGTCCTTCCCCATACCCCCTGCCCCGTTCCCCGGTGCGGCCTCAGCCACCTCCTGAAGCCAAGGGCAGCCCCTTTCCACAGTCAGCAGCCTACCCTGCGCCCTCCACCCTCGGCCTCGGCTCTGGATTCTAGGGAGACCCATCGCTACGCCCGTCCCTTGGGGCTTCTCCGAGGCCTCTGTCTCCACTCGCAGCCCTCTTGCGTGGAGAGGGAGCTGCAGTTCCTACCCTTGTTTTGCAAACGAGGAATAGGAATCACCCTGGGTCAGTCAGGCATAAGTGGCAGAGTCGGATTCAAACCCAGGCTGTGTGGCCCCCGAGGCCTCTGCACCCCCAGGCAGGACTGGGAGAAGATAACTGTGTGCAATCCTGTCTTCCACATATCGTGGGGTCCCTGAAGGTCTTCAAGTTTTGTTTTGTGTTTGCTCCAAGCAGGTGTTTATCCTTACCTTAGGTGCTCTCAGGAGGTTGTTGGCTCTGAATCACTGACGCTGAGCACGTAGCAAGGGCACCATACACTATGCTGAGCTCGGCTTTCCAGACTCCAGGCTGGAGGGTCCGTAGAGGCCTCATCAGGGAGATGAAAAACTGGGGCTGAGAGAGGGAAGGCCTCATCGCTAGCTCAACAGGAGAACCAGAAGCGGGAACCCCGGCACCTTCCCATGGCACCCCCGTGCCTCCCCTCAACCACCCTTAGTGTCACGTATCAGACTTGCACCCCAGCCGGGGCAGCAGGGCGCTGGCTGCAGGACCAGGCAGCAGGAGGGGCTGCAGCCCAGCCCCTGGCGAGGGCCTGGGGTGCTGGCCGTCCTGGGAGGCATCAGTTCCTCCGGGTGGGCATGGGAATGGCGGGCGATGGCAGAAGTCAGCAGATGTGTGGGCTGCCCAGGCTGCCTGGGCCAGTGTCTGACGTCAAGGGAGTGAGGGAGGGAACCTTTCCTCTCCCCCCAAGTTCTTCCTCTTCTTATTGCAAGATTTCTTTTTCAAAATCCTTCCATGCAAAGGAAAAACTAGAGCTCCTTGGAGTAGGTCCACATGGCCTGATTTGGAGATTCATGGAAAGCACCCCAATCAAGGCGGCCTCCTCACCAGCCTCCTACAAGTCTCTGGCCACTCCCACCCTTGGATGAAGGTGATTTGGACTGTGACCACCACCGAGGCCTGTCGGGGAGGCCTGACTCATGAAACCGTTCAATCAGCAAGTATCTGCTGAGAGCCACTGCCCTGCGGACCTACGAGGCGCCTGAAGCAAAAGGAAAAAATGTGTGCCCCTGTGTCTGTGTCTTGGTGTGTTTTCCTAAGAGTGGATTTTTTCCCAGAACAATAAGGTAGCATGAACAAATCGAAAAATTGAGTCGGCCGTGGTGGTTTATGCCTGCAATCCCAGCACTTTGGGAGGCAGAGGCGAGAGGATTGTCTGATCCAGAGGTTCAAGACCAGCCTGGGCAACTTGGGAAGACCTCATCTCTACAATAAATCAAAAAATTAGCTGGACATGGTGGCATACACCTGTAGTCCCAGCTACTTGAAAGGTTGAGGTGGAAGGATTGTCTGAGCCTAGTAGGTCGAGGCTGCAGTGGCTGTGAGCGTGCCACTGCACTCTAACCTGGGCGACAGCGTGAGACCCTGACTCAAAAAAAAAAAAAAACTGAAAAATTGAAAAGTGGATATGTCAAAACATTACATTATTTTAAGTATTTCATTTTCCAAACAACAACAACAAAAGCCCAGAATTTTTAGAATGTTCTTTTCCCGGCTTTTGTGAATGAAGACTCATGAATGAAAATTTCAAAATCATTTTCTTTGCTTATCTTGTTTTCCATTGAGACATGTCTGAGAATTTCTCTCGATCAAGTGATGATCTTAAATAATTTTAATTAACTTTAGCTCACTGGCAAGTTTTTTTTGTATTGTGTCTCTATTTTAAAAATTTAGTCCATAATAGATTTTTTTTTTGTACTAATATTTAAAGAAATACTGTTGATCGCTGAGGTTTTGGAGCCCTCTTACATTTTGCACCTCAGGGAAGGTTTCACTCGTCTCCCCCTGCTCCCTCCCCTGCTGAACATCGAATGACAGCACAAGTATCATAGGAAGGGAAGAAAGGAAACCAGTTCATTCATTCCATGATGAATTCATTCATTCATCCATCCATCCAATGCTGTCGAGTGTCTGCTATACGTCCTGCACTGGATACCGGAGATAGAGCAGTGACAGTCTTCCTTCCCAGGGCTTGCGTTCTGACGGTAGAGATTAAACAAAACAAACCGGGAAACTATAGCACTAAGAGGCATAGAGCAGATAACACAAGGAAGGGGGTGAGAAGTGAGGGGAAGAACAAGGGGAGGCCTCATGGAGGTGACCTTTAGTTGGAGAGCGGTCAGGAAGGCCACTTGTCCAGGGGGCCCACAGGTGTGTTTTGTTTGGCCCTCACAGTGTTAAACTTTAAAAAAATGTTGTATGCCTTTAGATGGGGGTCTCCCTCCTGTTTGCCACAAGCCCCACTTCTCCCTATGGTCTTGCACCCTTGTGTTTCCTTTCTTTTTGCCCGCAGCTGTGGAAATAATCGTGTGCTTCAAAGTTGTCCTGGGAGCAGAGAGTCACGGGACACATGGACAGGGTGAAGGATGTCCGGCCTTAACCGGCGGTGCTGAAAGAGGACAAGTTCCCTACGTCCCTTCATAATGTAAAATCATGATAAAATCATAATGTAAAATTCACCAGGCCAGCAGGCTTCCCGGGTGGGGCCGGGGTTTAAGTTTTTCAATAAGCAAGAGAAATGAGAACTCAGAGTCAGAAATAGGTTGACGCATAGAAGCTGGAGGACGTTACATTGTTCAGATCGTAGCGTGTGGACTGTCATACCGTCCCCGACACCTTCAGTCTTGCAACCTCTGCTTAATCATTGCCATCATTCCTCAAGCTGGAGGCGATTTTCCTGCTCGTGTAGGCGGCACAGCTGAAGTTCAGTGAGGGGAGGTGAGTTGCCCGAGGGCATGCCACGGGCTCCTGGGGGAAGCGGTATCCCGTAGCTCCTTGCCCGCCTCCGAAGAATAAACCCTTTCCCGGGAACCTTGCTGCTTGTTGTAGGGAGGAGTCCCTTACCCCATCCCGTTGCTCTGAGTGTACCCAGGGTGTACGAGTCTGAGAACAATCCGGATGACCCTGTCGTTGGGGCAAATGATGGTTAAAACGTTTATCTCAGCCGGGCTCGGTGGCTTAGCCTGTCATCCCACACTTTGGGAGGCTGAGGTGAGTGGATTGCCTGAGCCCGCGGGTTCGAGACCCCCCCGGGCAACTTGGCGAGACAATAAAAAAAGCAAAAAATCCGCCAGGCATGGTAGCGCGTGCCTGTAATTCCGGCTACTCGGAAGGCTGAGGCGGAAGGATCGCCGGAGCCCAGCGGGTCGAGGCTGCGGTGGCCGGGAGCGGCCACTGCACTCCAGTCTGGGCGACAGAGTGAGACTCCAACTCAAAAACAAAAACAAAAACGTTTATCTCACTTAAGAGTCCAAACATCTCGGTAAGCGCCGGACGTGGTGGCTCACGCCTGTAACCCCAGCACTTTGGGAGGCCGAGGTGAGAGGATGACTTGAGTCCAGATCTCATCTCTTCAATAAATCAAAAAACTAGTCGGGCGTGGTGGTGCATGCCTGTAGTTCCAGTTACTTGGAAGGCTGAAGGGGAGGGACTGCCTGAGCCCAGCAGGTGGAGGCTGTGGTGGCCGAGAGAGTGCCGCTGCACTCTAGCCTGGTCCACAGAATGAGACTCTGACTCTAAAAAATCAAAGACTTACAACTCGGTGAATCAGGGAGCATCGCCCATTTCGAAGACAGGGGGACAGAACTGATAAGGTGACTTGAGATGACACGTCCAAAGTCATCTGGCAGTGACCAGGGGATCTGAAACTGGGTCCGAATCCTGTGCCCGGGCTGCCGCATGTGTTCCAAGACAGGTATGGACACGTGCTGTCTGTCCTGCCCAAGCCATGCCACTCGCCCTCATTTTTTTTTTCCCCGTCGGCAGAATGCTACACGAAGTACTGCAAACAGAGGAATGTGACCTTTCACGCCTCCCAGTCCACGGGCACTCACAACCCTAGATATTTTAGTCCCAGAATAACCGACGGAGTAACACCAGAAAGCTGGGGCTGTCCCAGCAGGCGGTGCCCACTCACCAACTCACCGCACATGAAGATTTTCAATTCCGCTGCAGGGAACGGACGCTGCAGGCTACACGACCCCATGTGTTCTCTGGGCAACACACTGACGGCTGCTCCCCGGCCGTGGTGCTCAGGCCCGAAGGCGCCACAGACGGTGGCGGCTCCCCATTGATAGGGACGTGGCTTGTGATGACGTGCGTTTGTCCCAAGCCGCTTTTATGCTCACTGTAGCTTAATCGATGTCACCTCAACTGGTGAGATGTGAATGCAAAAGAAAAGAGAGTTGCTGTTTTTATAAGAACCGAGTTGACAGTTTGGGGAAGACTTAATAAAGGAGAGAGTCTAAAATAAGGTTGCTGAATTGGGTGGGGGCAAGACAACTCAAAAGATGAGAAGAAACGTGCCACATCCAGGAGGCTTCTGTGCCAACATTGCTTTGCAAGGCTCTGTAGACTCTCACTCCACAAAACTGAAAATAGAAATCGTAGATAATGCATTCAGGATGT